GGGGGGGGGCAAGAAGTGGAAAGATGTTATGTAAATATTTTAAATTGCAAATTAAGGGTAAGTCTGTTTTTGCAGCGTGGGTGGGCATTTGGGAGAAGGAAATAAACCTGCTCAATGTTATTTCTTTAGACTGGCGTTCCAGAGCAAATGCCTTATTATTGGAATCCGTGCCTTGGTCTGTCTGCCATCCTTTGCGTTTACGTATTTAGAGGAAAGGGAGGGGAAAAAGGAGGGGGAACCATCCAGCTCTCTTCTGACTCAGAAAGGCTTAGCGGATTTGGCAGGTTCAAAATCGGCTGGGATTTTGTGTTTGTGAGCGCTGGGTGGAACATATGGTCCCCGAAGCAGATTTAGTATCATAGATCTGGGATGAGATGGGAGAGTTGGACGGGAAAGCAGAGAAGAATATCTCTGGGTAAGGTAGTTCATAGCAATAGCATTTACACTTCTATACCGCTCAGCACTCTCTAAGCCAGGGGTCGGCAACATTTTCTTACCTGGGGCCGGTAAGGTCTTCTTCCAGTCTTCTACGGGCCGAGGGGGGGTTGAAATGGCGCCCCGCGTCCGCTCATGCACTCGCGTATGCGCAGTACTCTGGAAGTACTGCGCACGCGTGAGCAAGTTGTGGTTGCCATTTTGGAAAACATGTTTTCCAAAATGGCAGCCGCGACTTTCTCGCGCATGTGCAGTACTCAGCGCATGCACAAACGAGTCGTGGTCACCATTTTGGAAAACACGGCAGGGGTCGTTGGTGTCGTCGTCATCAGCAGTACCGGCCTGGGGCCGGTCCAAAGGCCTCGGGGCCCCGGATTCGGCCCCCGGGCCATAGGTTGCCGACCCCTGCTCTAAGCAGTTTACAATTCGTAAGCCAGTTGCCTCCCACAAGCTGAGAACTCATTTTACCGACCTACGAAAGGATGGAAGGCTGAGCGAACCTTGGAGCCCTACTTCTAGGATCAAACTCACAACCTTGTGGCTGCAGGACTGGCATTTTAACCACTGTTTCACTAGGGCCCCTTTGCCCAATGCCTACCCATGCTGCAAAAACAGACTTACCATTAATTTGCAATTTAAAATATTCATCCCATATGCAGACTTTAACCAGTCCTGAATGGGGCTGCAGTCCCCTGTGACAGATGGTGTTTGCAGCTTGTGGGTATTCCTGGATCTGTTGTTCCAAATGACAGCTCAGATCGATGCAAGGCTCCCAGGGGGGCTTACTTTTAGCTTCTGCTAAAAGGCAGCTGCTCCTCTTCCTAGAGATGGAGGACCTATAGATGGTAGTATGCACACTGGTAATCTCAAGGCTGGACTTTTTGCAATGTGCTCCGCATTGGGCTACCTTTGTACCAAGTATGGAAACTCCAGTTAGTGCAAAACATGGCAGCCAGATTGATCTCTGGTAGATCCAGGAGTGACCGTATTACACCAATATTAAGATCACTCCACTGCCTGCCAGTTAATTTCCAGGCAAGGTACAAAGTGTTGCCGATTACCTTTAAAGCCCTACATGGTTTGGGTCCAGGTTACCAACGGGATCGCCTCCTCCCATATAATCTGCCCCCTACACTTGACAAGTTTTCTTGGCATGGTTTGGGTCCAGGTTACCAACGGGATCACCTCCTCCAGGTTACCAACGGGATCGCCTCCTCCCATATTATCTGCCCCCTACACTTGGCAAGTTTTCTTGGCATGGTTTGGGTCCAGTTTACCGATGGGATTGCCTCCTCCCATATAATTGGGTCCTCTGGGAGACGTTTACTCCAATCTGCTAGGACTGACTGGCAATGGTCACCCAGAGGACTTTTTCTTTTGCTGCCCCTAGACTGTGGAATGACCTGCCAGCTCAATTTAGTGCCTGAATTAAAACCAGCATTGGTAAATAACTCAAGGCTGAACTTCTGCAATGTGCTCTCTGTTGGGTTACCTTTGAATCGTGTTCGGAAAAGTCAGTTACGGTAGTTCAAAACTACAGCAGCCAGATTGATGGCTGGTACATCTAAGAGTGAACATCTCACGGCAGATTAAAATCACTCCACTGGCTGCCTGTTATTTTTGGGCAAAGTAGAAAGTGTTGGTTATTCCCTTTAAAGCCCTCCATGGCCCTTGGGGGTCTCTTTCAACTCTAGGATTCTACGATTCAGTTCCTAGCAACTGCAGACGAGGCTAAGACGTGTCCTGGCCGAAAAATGGTGAAGTCAGAATGGACAATATTTGGATGGAGGGAGCAAGGGTCTGACTCTGTATCCAATACCTTCTTACGCAGGAGGATTCCCAGGTTTCATCCCAAGCAGCTCCAAGTAGGGCTAAGGCAAGATCTTGCCTGAAAGAAACCCAGGAGACTATGGCTGCCAGTCAGAACCAGAACCAACTGGGCTATGTGGATTCCCAAGGGTCTGTCTCAGTCTAACGTACAGTAGTCCCTCCTAATTTTGGGGGGATCCGTTCTGGACCCCCTCACGAAAATGGCGACTCGCACATAT